TTTTTTCCTATCTCAAAAAGAATTTTTTATGAGCACCATGTCTTTTAGCTAATTTTGGATATGAAAAAAAATTTATAAAATAAATATTAAACGATATATTTACTCGCAGATACTAACGCCTAAAATTGCGTTTCAAAAATTATAAGGTTAATTTATTTATAAAATAAGTTCTCTACGCCGGCTAGTCATTATTGCATATTCATCTATAATGTGATCTATAGGAATGATATTAAAAATATTTTTTTCTATGCTCAATAGAGCCAACGAATTTAATCGTTCCTGACCCATTGTCGATCGAAGATATGTTTTCACCCGTTTTAATGCTGAAAACGATCTTTCACATGAGCAGGAATTAAAAGGTATAGTTAACGCAATTTTAAGGCAATTAAATATAGGAGGGAATATATATATGGGTAAGATTTTTATCAAATCTATTATTGATTTACACGTAGATTCGTGTTTTTTATTATAGGTTAAAATATAAGCCTTTAATATTATGTATTCTTCCATTGGATCAGGAAGATTATAATGTAAGATAAATGGTTTAATGATATCATTATTTAAAAAAAGGGGGGAGGAGGGATGTAAAGCATTTATAGCTATTAAAATATCTATGTTTTCTTGGCAAAATCTCTTTTTTAATTCATTTATCATAATATCCAAAATTGGATAAAAGACATGACACTTATAAAAAGTTGAAGAAACAATAACATCTATTTGAATATAATTATTCAAAATGGTAGAAGGTATATTTGCTCTTTTATTTCTTATTTTTATATTATATAAATTGCAAAATTTATTTACTTCGGTAAATAATGAAGAAAAATACGAATTATTTCTTAAATTTGACAAAGAACTGATAAGAGACTCAATAAGAGCCAATGTTGTTGAAATGTCCGAATCTGATTTTTGCAAAAAAATAGAAATATTATATATATAAATAAGCAAACTATTAAAATTTATTTAGCATTTTTATTAAAATATAGTTTATTATTAAGTTAGGATAAACAAATAAATCTATAATTATCAAATTATGAAAGAATGATTAAGTAAACAATTTAGCCAATATTATCTTTATGAATGTAAAAAGAATAATAGTGCATGAATTTTTAAGATATTGACTATTTATATAGAAAATATTTACTATGTTTTATTTAACTAATATTTTGACATCACCTTATGTGATTATAATAGAAAAATTTTTAAAAAAATTTTCATTTCTAGTGTCCTGCTCCTGAAAGGTGAAAATATATTGTAAAGCAATTTTTGCTTAACTTGAAAACTAAAGAAATCAATATTGTTTAATGCTCTGGTGAAAAATGACTTAAATAGAAATTCTATAGAAATTAGGCAAATTTGGGAGGAAATAGGAAAAACATATAACTTCAATTATGATCAAGTGAAAAAGAAACCTTCCATTAAAATAGATAATTAACTAATAAATTTTTATTTTTTAAAACTTAAATGTCAAGAGTGTTTTGTTATTAATTTGTGAAAATTTTAAGGATTTTTCAAAACATTTTGGACACAGACTTATATATAAATTTATTTACCTATTTTCTTTCTTTTAACATTTTTGTTTTCAATATTTATATCTTTTAAAACTACAATTAATCGTCTTTCAACTAAATCAAAGTTTGAATTTTAAAAACTGTATAAAATATACTTTGTTCATCACCAGCTTTATTATTGAATCCTCTTCTTTGGTCCTCAAGATTATTGCTAGTTTTATCTTTAATTTTTTTCATAAAGTCTTTAATGCTTAAATTTTTAAATCGCAAAGTCATTTTATTTAAATAGTGATTTTAAACTCGGCTTACAATATTAAATTTGTTAATTTTCAATTAATAAATCTTTATATTTATTTAATTAGGGTTATATAATAATTTAATTAATAAAAATCAATTAAACTTCAACTGTTAATGCTAAATTGATATTTAAACATTATGCATGGTATTGATATTTTATTTTTAACAAAGAATTTGATTGCAAGCTGACATAGTGAAAATATAATTTATATGTATTAATCTAATCTAATAAAATTTAGATAGTCTTATTAATTTTTAAATAATAAAATTAAATCTATATATTACTTAATAGAAATATAATAAACATGGGACAATCAAAAAAAGTTCTTTTTAGTTTAAGGGGATATTAAGGAACTATTAAAAAAAAATTTTCTTTGCTTCAGGGGGCTATTCAAATTTTTCAAGGGGCTTGAGCCCCTGCGCCCCCCCTAGTGACGCCACTGGCTATATCGTTGGATTTTATCCGAGGAAATTTTTTTTAACAGTTTTATTGAAATGCCCTTATTCTTGTTTAAATAAAGAAGGATCAAAGGAAATGGTTTAATATTTCCCTTATTAGATGCATCTGTTAAAATTGCATATGGATGTCGACCTTTTAAATCGTCAATAATTGACCTCTTGGATTCAGGTCCTGAAACATTTGTGATACCCTTGCTTATTTTTGTTCTACGACAAGTAAAGTTTGCACTTATATCGGAGTCGTTAAATATTAAGGGAAAAAGATTAGACCTACATTGTGACGATAGATAGCTCTTTGAATGTTGAACTACATGATAGGTGTATATAATTTCCGGACATATAGTTGTATCTGTATTATTAATAATATGATTGAACTATAATAAATAAAATAATTAACAGTTTGAAATAAGTATATTATTTATTTAATTTAACCTGAACGTGATAATTAAGCGCCAAGCCCTATAATGTTATACACAAACACATTGCAAATGATAAAATATGAATGAAATGAATGATGTTGATTTATTATTGGATAAAAATATGAAGGCTTGTAAACCAAAGGTCCCAGGTTCAATACTGGGAAGGATCTAAAAAATTTTCGGGTTTTTCTTCGATAGTGTCGGGCTTTAGACATATGATAAATTTCTGAGCTGAGAAATGTCACCCCGGTCACCGACAGGCTTGGACAGCCGGGTGCTAGGATACTTGTCCAATAAACCAAAAAAGACGGCCAGCTGAACTCGTGGGTCAGATGATAACGATTTCTTGGCCAGAGCTAGGATGATGGTGACCTCGGGGACCTCAAGCTCAATGTCTGTCTACCAAGTTACAATGGACTTGATAACGATACTCCGGTGGGAGATCCAACGGTATTGATACCAGTGGGAGATCAGGATTGGGATATCTGTAGATTTGATAATTCAGTGTGAGGAATACTCAGGTGGGATATCTGGTCGATATTAATTTGATGCACCGGTGGGGGAGATCAAGATACTTTGGCCTTGTGATACACGGTGATGGATACAAATGAAATTGATCAGGAATACCAAGATAAAAATAGATAGCAATATTAATAATATAATAGATAAGTGAAGGAGCTTATCACCAGAAAAGGTGAAAGCTAAAAAAATAAATAAATAAAACAGTATAGAAAAATTAATAAACTAGACATGTTTTATTTAAAAATAATCAATTTGTCTCAATTATTTATATATTAAAAAAACGTTAAAATGCTAAACAAAATTGTGGAGGAGAAATTAAAATATTGCGGTAGTTTTCCGAAAGTAGGATGTCTGCGTGTAAATTAAAAAATTGCTAGTCTCCCCGCTGATGGTAGGAGACATGGCAATCCTGCTTGTGAAACTCATATCGATAGCCTTAGACATCCCCCCATACTGTCATTTTTCAAAAGGCAAATTATCCAGGCACTTTGCCATCAATTCGATCATCAATAGAATTTTGAAATCCGCAAATATTCCTTCTACACTGGAACCCTCTGGCTTCTGACCTGATGGAATGACGCTAGTCTCTTGGAACAAGGTATACCCCTCGCTTGGAATTATACATGTGTAAATAGTTTTGCCAGATCTTTTTATTTCAGCTCTATCACGAAAGCTGAAAATACAAAAACAAATAAATAGACCCACCTTAATAATCTTTTGTTTGTTCCGGTAGTTTCAGATACCTGTGGATCATTTGGACACCAAGCGCTAAAATTATTCAAAACAATAAGACAAAGCTTACGTATAATCACAGGTGATCCAAAAAAGGCTCCTACCTACGACAAACAATATCAATCAAAATTTGTCGATCCAAAAAATACATGGGTCATTAAGCCCCACCGACCAATCCTAAATACATTCTTTTATTTTTTTACATAGAATATAGATAAAGTATTATAATTTTAATAGTTAGTTATTTTTCTAGAAAAAATTTAACTAGTTACTATAACACTAAGAAAATGTATTACTTATACGTTCAAATAATATATTTATATTATTCAGTTATAATAAAAATAAATTAATTTCATCTATTTTATAAATAAACAATATTATTAACTTACGTGATGGCAAAAATTTTATTAAATAATATTTATAATTAAAATGATTATATGATGGTGTCACTTCAATAAAAATAATTTCTAATCGTAATGAACCATTACAATTAGCAGAACCGAATCAAAACTTTATAAAATCTTTCTTAAGAACCATAATCAAACCGTAGCCATTATAATTTTTTCAACACTGAACCCTAAACAAACTGAACCATTATAAATAAAGGTTCGGCTCCCTGAAAATAAGTAGTCTCGAAAATATTGTAATAAAATTGTGAATTTATTTGTAATAAATATTTTTTCCTCAGCTAGTTTTGGTGGAAATGAAAAAATTATTTTAAAACTTTTTATACATGTTTAAGGATATTTCAAAACCTATAATAATTTATTATTTTTCATTTAAACCAATGTATAATTTCAATCCCTTCAATGAATTGGGAGGAGGGGAGGGTAATAAATTTTATATTGTTCAAATATAATTTTTATTTATTTTCAAACAAAAATGATTTGTTATATAAGTTATTCTATATATTCATTACTTTATATATTTCATTTTAATAAAAAAAAATGATATAATAATTTTATTAAATAATATTATTTAAAAATATGTATTCCATATTTTATATCAAAATAATAATTTTACTCTGAAATAAAATTACATTTAAAAGCCTGAAAAAATCGTAATATTTTGAAATAATAATTTATAAAGATAATATTGACCGACTTAACTTCTATAAATTTTTTAGATGAGAGAGATAAAATAATTATCAATATAAAAATTAAATATTTCTCAATGATATTTATATAATTGTGTAGATCAAATAATAAGTTAGTTGAGGGGTTAAATTTTATATATAAATATGATAGGTAGAATATCAATTTCAAAAAGACAATTTTCCAACGATGTATACAATACATATTTTAATTTTGTTTAAATGGGATATAATATCTTAAAATTCGTATTTTGAATTTTTATTAATTATAATTAGGAAGCTTAGAAGCAAAATAAATGCTTTTATACCATAAAAGCAAATTAATTGCGTCATAACAAGATAGTTTTTTTTATAAAGATGTGGCGGGGGAAGGGTGAGGGTAAAAACTTAAATAAAAAAGACAATGTTTTTAGGCTCGTGCTTAATTAATTATTTTTAGTAATAAGGTATAATAATAATACCATTTAGAAACCTTATGTAAATATAGATTAATATAGAAAATGAAATTTAGATCTCAAAATTCATCGTAACCAAATAATAAGTTGTTTAAATTAATGAACATAAGTCAAAGAAAATTAAATAGAAGTTGCATAATAAAATATTTCCAAAGGTAGAAAAAAAAATGCGCGGGATAGAAATAGGGGCAGATTTTAACAAAAATTAAAATATTTTTAAAAAAACAATTATGTCAAATTTCTTCAAATAAAATTCATAAAATAATCATATTTCGTTCTGTTCTCGCAATAAGAAGACTTTTTCATTCATCATCCAATGTGTCCAATGTTTGAAATTGATTTTTGTAAAAAGGAGCCTAAAATAATAATTTTAGGAATAAAAGATGTTATCAAGAGAGTAAAAATATAAAAATGAATTTGTATAAAAATATTACATCGCTCCTTTCTTCTTCTCTCCTTTGTTGGGTCTGCTGCTGTGTGTGTTGTTGAGATACCGACCTGCCATTCACCTCATCATCATTTCGACGAAACACAAAATCCTTAGAGTTAAATGCTTGATTAGAGTAATTACCTCCGCCTCTTTTTTTATTAGAGCTGTTGTTAGGAAGCCTTTGTCTAAGTTATGCATTATATGATTTGTATTTTCTTTTATCATTTTAACAAGAATCATCTACTATAAAAATGCTACAAATTTGAAACTAGTGAAAAGTTATGCGCCAATTTATAACAACATACTCAAAAAATTAAGTTGGTCATTTGCATGCACAGAAAATAATTATTAAATTTAATAACCTATTCATTCCACCACTACCATTTGTTGGATAATTTTGATCTTCCTCGTTTTCATAATGCCTCTCAGAAGGATAAAAGTTACGTGAGGCGCCACGTGGATCTATATAAAAAATCATAATGAATTTTATCCTGACTATTGATCACGAAGGTTCATAAAACAATTGCAATTCTATGCAATATTACATCCCACTAAATTTAAACTAACCAACGGTCCATAGTCAGATGTAATTCCAACCATTGGATGGATGAGAATGAATAATAAAAACGCAAATATTTTTTAAATAGTTCAAAAGATAAGTTTCGAACCTGCGCTTTGTCGCCTCTGGTTAGATAGCGGACCATAAGTATTGGAAGGAGGAATTCTAATGAGGTACTTGGGATCACTACAATCCATGGATCTTGCCCCCTGATATTTAGCTGGTTCGTAGCTGAATGTTTGTTAAACAGAAATTATATGACACAAATAATGATTTACAAAATACATTAATATAAAATCGAGGATTCTCGTGAACTTTCATTAAAATATATTATTCCCTTGTGATACTATGCTTTATTTTAGATCTTTCATTTCTATTTATTAAAGTTTGCATTAGAGATCTGCATCGGGCTTAAATCTCATTAGACCAGCCCGAATTTTTTTGTCATAGCCTGAACCAAAATTATTTCCAAGAATTGGGCTCAAGACCAGAGTAAATTTGGACCCCAGTGGGGGGTTATGGTCGGGCTTGGTGGGTCACTAGTTTGCATTGACGTGATTAAATTAATCCTCTTTTTTGTTTATTTTTAAATAATTATAATTTTTTTAAGAAAAAAACATTTTATTAAACATAATTTTGCATAAGTTTAATTATTTGTGATATTCATGAAATTAGTTTTTTTGATACAGTAAACTCCTATAAAAATTCATTTATATTTTTAAAATGAAAAGTGAAAAAATCTCTATTCTGCCCCGTTTAATAAATAATATTCCAAATTTTGTTGATATATAAATATTAATTCTAGTTGATGTTAAAATATTATTTAATTAAAATAAATAATCTAAGATTGTTATATTTTAAATTTGTTAATTATAAATCATATATATGTCAAATGCGTGTATTGAAAAAGAAAAGTTATTTATAATTTTAAAGATAAATAGTTAATTTGAGTATAAAATTTGTAAGGAAAATGAAATGCATAAATTGTAAGCAAATTAAATGACAATTATATGAAATAATTATTGATGGTATGTAAATTTTAGTATATAAATAGTGAGATCGAAAATGTAATAATTCAATAAAAGGAAAAGAGAAAATTTTATAATTTTTACTTTATATTTTTACGTTATTTTAGAATAATTTTGATTAAGTAAATATTTTAATAAATTAATTTGTTATCTTCAATTCTTGATTTTAATAATTGGTAATTAAATTAAAAAATATATTCAAAAATGTATTAAAATATCATAAATATTAAAAACATTATAAAATATTTTTTAATCAATTCTATATAGCAAATTTTACAAGTATTAGGAGTTATTTTCTTTCAGGGTAATTTATCAAAATTTGATTTAAATCAAAGAAATCCATAAGTCCTTAAAAATCAAATTAAGTTTAAATGTTAAATGCACATAATTACCGTTGATTGTTATCGTAATGAGGTGGATGTCTGGATTGAGGAGGGCTCATCAGCTAATATAACGTGAAAATTATAGATGTATAAACTTGAAAGAAATATATCACATTATTTTGTTTGGGATTGTATAAAGTATTAGAAAGATGTAAAATATATTTTAATTTTTATCAACTGACAAAATGATTGTGGAAATTACCCGCCTTTTTAAATTGGGCAGCAGTGACATAACGTATGTTATGCCAAGAATACATTTTGGGGAAATTATTTAACTTATTTACTAATTTTGAATAAAATAATAGAATATTTCCAAGTTGGATAAAAGAGAATCACATTAAGCGGAAATATTATAACATCAGCATATACCCCATATTTAGCGCTATCATTGGTGAGACTGTCTTTCCTATCGGATGTTTCCGAACCACGACTAGAAGTGTGAGAATTGTAAGAAGGCCCATTGCGTGATATGTAAGGATTATTGTTCAGTTTCCTGAAATTTAAAACAAGGATACAATTTTAATTTTCGAAAAAATGTTTCATATAAAACATGTTAGAATTTATTAAAATAATGCCTAAGGCAATGTTTATTTAATTATTTTTGAATTAAGAGTGAAAAAAAATTATAAAATTCCGTAATAGCAATATTATCATGTATATTGGTAATATACAAAAACATTAGAAGAGGGAACATCTGTTCAAAACAAGATGGAGTAGGAGGTGAATTTGAATAGACGAAAATAATACTTTTTTTAACCCCAACATAAAACTAATTCAATATTTTCGACACGAAAATCAAATTTTTTACAAATATTTGTTTTTAAAATATTACATGTATAGTTGGGTAATAGATAAATGTCGGCCCAATTTTCAGGCGCCTGTCGGAGAAAATTCATTAACAGACGTTTTTTTAAACTAGTTTCTTTCAAATTTGAGCTGCTATATTTTTAAGAAAAGCCCCACGGCTAAAAATATAGTAATTACCCAACTATAATTTTAAGAAATAATATTAAAATGAAAATGTAAAAATATATACAATCAAATTAAGCCTTCATTTATTTATTCCTTAAAGGATTTCTAAAGCAGACTCAACCTTGCCCACCTTAATTTTTTTTCCAACCTTATCCAAAATAAAAATTAATTACAAAAAACATGATTTATTTTTATATATTATTCATTCATTTTAACATTAAAATTTATATAGATTCACATGATATAAATAAAATGTTTAACAAAATTAAGAATACGTGATACGTGATAAAAGCGTTTTCGCCCTCTGGTTGTGGATACAACAGAGCTACGCTAGGTTTTCCTCAAAAATCCATCAAACTGGATAGTTAATTTAGGGGAGAAAAAAAAATGAGGAGCCCTTCACACGTTTGTGGGCAAGCATCTAATGTAAGCCTTCTTATGTAAGCCTTGATAGTTACTAACAAATAATTGAGAATGTGTTCATATCAATTGAGATTAGAAATTATTCATGAAAATAAGGAAAAGCTAAAATGGGTTTACCACAAATTATTTAAAAGGTGAAAATTTCAGTGAATAGGCAAAAACTAGTCAGTAATCGGTTTATGACTATCCAGCAACGAACACCACATAACAAACGGTTATTTTTTCTTTTTTCCAGAGAAACAAAATACTCTATGGAGTGATAGATAGATTATATAGCGAAAAAGGTCTTTGATAATGATAAGGATATGAGAGAAAGGAAACTATGACGCAGAAATAGGAACCAGCTCCGTAAGTTTTAGGAAATGGAAAAGTAATTGTTGGCCAGGATTAACAAAAGGCATTTTGGCTTGATTGTTATATGATAGTCTATCATTCACGGAAAGACTCTACCAACAAAACATATTTACAAACCTCGCCACCCCCCTGTCGACTGGTTTCTCCATAAATGAAATAACAAGAACAAAGACTAAGAAAAAACACTAAGAAAAAGCAAAGCTCCAGGGTCAGATAATATCACAGCAGAAAAACCAAAAAAAATAAATAGCATCTATAACAATATCGCTACCTATTTGCCCTCATTTAAATAAAATATGGGAGAGCGGAACTACTGCAGTGGGATGGATCAAAATCCTACCTAAGTAACTACCCAAAAACTAAGACCACAGAAAAGGCTTATTGAGCTATAGCCATCACATCCTATAGCATGGAAAAAAGCATATCACCCACACCAAAAATACATAAGTATATACAGGCCAAGAAAATAAAATACTGGATCCAAAAATTAATTTAGAAAAATAATCATGCAGAAAAACTAAGTACAAAACCCCCTTCTGCTTTACATTTGTGAATTATAACAGAGCTATTGATAATGTTAACCATGCAGTTTTTTCAGAAAATAAGATAAATAAAAGCTGAAGTCAGTGAAGTAAGTAATTCACAGAAAAGGTGAAAGACAAAATCAAGAGGTAAAATTGAGAGATGAAGAAATTAAATAACCTGAAAAATACAGAAAAAAAATTATGAGAGGTTTAGGTAGTTCGATTTAATTTTTAGTAGTTTTTTTATAGATTTTTTGTTTTTATTTAGCCTTAGGAATTGCTTCAAATTTAAGTTTAGATCATCGGATCAGAAAAAAGGTCAATATCAGCGCTCATCTAATTACCATGAAATTTTTAAATTAAAATAGTTTTTTAAATTAAAAAATGAAAAGAATGCTATATAAAATTTACCCATAGGGTGGCAGAAAAGGGTCGTTATGATATTGTTGTCTGTAATTATTGCCTCTATGATTAGCCGGTATAAAATTGTCCTCTAGATTTAATAATTGAAAAAATTAACTACAATAAAAGATCATATTAAAAAACAATGGTTAATATATTGACATTCAGATACAAAGCGGCTAAAAAAAATAAATCATTCTCAATTTTTTTTAGAATTTGATCAAGTCGTTTTTTTTAAATTGAAATGAAAAATGATGAAATTTGGCCAAATAATTCAGTGTTGGGTAATTACTATATTTTTGCCGAAAACTATCGATTTGGCCTAGGAGGTTATCTTAAAAATATAGCAGCTCAAATTTGAAAGGAATAACATAAATTAAAATGCCTTAATGTTAATGGATTTTCCCCAGCACATGCTTGTCAATTTTTAAGCGAGTCTGGGAGGAAAAAATTTTGTGACAAAAACAAGTTTGTGTTCGATAAGTGGAAGAAGATATTGTTACTTTATAAGAATATAGGAGGACTGTTCCAACATAGATCTTTTTAATTATTTTATACATTTTGATAATTGTATTATTGTGTTTAATAAATAACGTTTTACATTATAATTTAAGATTAGAAAAATATTTTTAAAAAGACAAATGTTCGTAGTCCAAGAGTATTTTATTTTTTGCCAAAAGCACCTTTAATTTTCTAAAATTTGACCCTATCAAATTCTAAATAGGGGATATTAGGTTACCTTAATTCAAACCATATAAATGGATGAGATGTCATGCAACTCTTTCAAGATTGTGACGACTCTCTAAAAGCATATTTGAAAAAATTACCGATACTACAAATAAAATTCCTTGTATTTAAAGATGGAAATGGTATTCAAACCCATTTTCAGAAACAAGAAATTATTTTTATTATTTATAAAAATCGAAGTCTAATCTAATTTTCTATTCAAGAATGCAATTCTCAAGGGTCAACATTTCTGTTGTTCTATGAATGGCACTATTGGAATAATTTATTTTGGATTCGATTATTTTGCGATATTCTCTTTAGCAACATTTAGAAACCGAAAAAATTTATCAACGTGTCAATTTTTTTCATTATTGAAATTTCTTGCATTTAAAACTAAGTCAAATAAATCTATTAACGAAAGCTAGTGGAATACTTTTCTGGTAAAAATATTGAGTTAGATATGTTAATAATAATAAATAAGCTAAAATCGAGCCATTTAACAACACTACATTTAAACTTAAAAAATTTCATTATACATTTTTAATATAATAATAAATTAGATATCTAAAATTAACTATAAATATATGCCGTTTAAAATGTATCTAGATATTTTAACAACGCTGCTAGCCATTCTCTAGAATTAAATATATGTAATAAAAAAGCTCGTATTAAATGTCTAGTAAGTGAATGGTTACATTACACATGGCCTGTATATCTTCTAAAGTTAGTTTAAACTCCCCTAATCTAAATCGATTGGATAATCATGTGGAAGTGTGGAAATAGACTCTAATTTGCAAAAAATAGACTACGACCATATTTGATATCAAATTTCTAAAAGGCGACTCAATCAAATTCTAAATAATTTTGAGGATGGTTCCATATCTTCATTAATAAAATATAAAAAGAACAAATGACGCATTCATTTTAGAGTTACAAGGATTTAAAAATGTGGCGTTTTTTTAGTCACACATATTTAAAAAATAGATATTTTCTTGTTAATTTTTTAAAATAATTATGGAAATAAATATGACCGCCTCCTTAACCTGACTATAAAGGTTCTTCGTTCAAAAATCATATTTTGAGGCTACACTGATGAAATATAAATCCCCACAATAAATTACGAGATATAAATAATCTTCAGGTAAACCATTTATAATGATATAAAATATAATGCTTTAAACCTTCATGATTGTGTTCGAAAGAGCCAATGCTGGCACTCCTGCCCATTAATTTTTCGCTACCAGAGTCCAGTCTATTCCTTCCTCTAGTTTTTAGGGAAAATAAAAATAAATTATATATCTAACTTAACACTCGAATTTTGTAATAGTGCAGTGTTACCTCTAAGCTTGGTCTCAAATTGCAAGCTTATCTGGTATTTTCCTTCCATTTATTATAACTCCATCTATATAAATTAACCATTATCATTAATGGTCAGACTTTTTACAGGTGATAAAAATTCTTGATTTTTTCAAATTTTATTTATTTTAGTCTAAGATCATTATAAAAAATTAGCGCAAAAAAGCAACCCGAATAGAAAATTTGAACTGTTGCATATCTGCAACGACAATTAGGGGTATAAAAATAAGATAATATTATATCATTGGAAAAAACGGAAATATGATATAGAATTTCAAAATTTGTTGATTTATTTTACATACAATATTATAACTTTTTATATCTTATGAAATTTTTTAAAACAATACAGATTGGTTTAAGACATGTGTTATATATATATACCTTCCAAATTTACAGCGTCGTCTTTTGTTAACAATAATTGTTGTTAAATACATAAAACAGTTGTTTCACTTAGTAAGGAAAATTGACTTATGAGGCTTCAACTTGTACCTATGTTTGTTAACAGCCCAATCCAGGTCGTTATTAAAAATCGAATTAAATCGGGTTTTAACAACCATATTTGTACAATTCTTTTCATTTACTAAGGGAGTTTTGATGAATTATTTATCATTGAAATTTAAGTTATTATTTATTATCAACAGTATTAACTCGGTTCCATAACCTACATGAATTTAGTTGCTACACGAATAAAATTTCTAAAGGGTTTTTCATGTTGATGCAATTGTCATCACTGAACTATCATTCCATCGAGCCACAAATATTTCATATGTCTTTTCAAATTGGCAATCGTAATACTTTCCATTTTTGCCATAACTTTAATTGTTTCCAGAGGAAAATAATTTGTAGGTCTGTTTTCTTTTATAGTCTCAGTTGCGAAAATTCAATGTTTTTATGTGATAAAAAAATACAAAGTAAATAGAATGCAGAGGTATTTAGGCAACTTTGAGTATTGGTAACAGTTGTACTTTTTAATACAAGATTCAAAGCTGTTAGGCTTTTATTTTTACTTTGATATATATCAGAGGCCTGCAGAGGTACCATTAGCATGGCCCAGCCCGTATTTTTATTTTCATATCTAACCATATTTTTTTTAAATATATTATAATTATTCTTATTTTTATAGTTAATAATGGCGATTTAAAATATTCAGCCCAGCCTGGCTATTAAAAAAATTTTTTTAGGCCATCAGAAATCTCCTGGCCCAGGCCGTATAATTGAAATCGCCAAAATTTAATATAAAAATAAATAAAATATATTTTAAAAGTTTTTTAAAAAAAAAAATCCGGGCCAGACCGGGCAAATTATACCTCTCTGATATATATATATTATGCAAATAAATACCCATCTGAACATTATAATCAGGGATGTGAACCCGAACCCTCGTATTTTGGCTGAACCCGAACTCGGACCCTTTTTAAAAGTGGAGGGTCCAAGGGTTCTAGGTGTCATAAAAAAATTTTAAAATATTAACTATTTTTATAGAATAATTTATTTTATCTTCGCGTTTTTCTTTCAATTTTCTTCCTGGACTTCCATTTTATTTAGAGATTAATATCATTAGTGTAGGTAATAATATTTTATTATCTAATTAATATGCTATGTTATAGAAATACGATGATTAATTTTAAAGTGAATTGTGTAATAATATTTTAATTTAAATGATAATGCACAACACGTTGGTCCTCAATTTTTATTATGCTAGAACGATTCTTAAGTCTGAAAGATTTCTTATTATAGGAGTATCTGGAAGTCATTGTCAGAAGATGAATTAATTATTTATTTCAAATTTCATAATATATTCGTTTATTACTTATTATGTATACAGATTAATGTTATATAAAAGTGATTTAACAATAAAAATATTTTATATACTTTTAGAATTGCAATTAAATTGAATATAAACTGATCATTATAATATATTCAAATGACATAAGTTATGGTAGAGTTAAATTATAGATGTTATACTAATAAAAAGTATATTAAAAATTAAAACCATTGGTATCTTTACAGAATACAAAATTAATATGATATCGGATTGGTAATCGGTCGATATCAATTGACTATCGAAAATATCGGATCGGCCTTCAAAAAGTGGTATCAGTACACCCTTACTAGAAATATAGTTTAATAGTCGAAAGTTGCCAAACTTTAATGGTATTTAGTAGACTCAAAAATAAATATTTTCTAAAAAATGTTTTTTTTATGTCATGTTAAATTATTTCAATTAAAAAGATTTATATGTGAAAAATCAATAAATCACAACTGTTGCAAATATAGTACGTTGACCATTAATGGGCTAAGAAAACAATTTTTTAAGAATTCATCATTGGAATCCAGACTGAATCTATCATGTTAGACACTTAAACAGTGAAATCCCCCCTTTCTTTAATTCTATTATCCAATTTACCCCTCTAATTCTAATTATCGTTAGGGCAAATCTACCTGATAATAGGTGGTTCGTTGGTAGTACTTGTTTTGCTGAGGCTCTTATCCCTTTCCTGTTGTATAAGCTTAGCCTCAATCCTGGCTTCGACAGAAGCAGTGTCAACGGGTTTAGCCTCCCCAAATATGGAGGCATACTTTTTCGATTCGATAGGGGTAGCTATGTTCATGTTAAAGGGACCAAATAAAAAGATTAAAGTGACAACTGGCAAAAGATATACAAAATCCTTAAAATATAACACCGTATAATTATTTCACTAAAGAAAGGTTTCAAAACTCGATGGCATTACAGTGAAAGGGGGAATATTTTTTACCAGATGTTAAAACAAAATAAAATGATATTACAGTATTAATATTTGTTGTAACACATGTCAACAATGTGAATAAACATTCTTATATGGTGTTCAAACTTTCCATAATTATTGAAAAAACTTGTTGAGAAAATTAAATTTTTTTTTATTAATTATAAAAGTTTGAAAACTTAATGAAGACAATTTTTCAAAATTTGAACAGGAACGAATATAGCTTTTTTAATCATATAAGAATGTTTATTCACATTGTTGACATGTGTTACAACAAATCATATTAATACTGTATTATATTTTTATTTTAATCATACTTAAATATTAATCTATGATAAAAAAATATTAAACAACCTTTTTAAAAAATGCGGCACTTGAAGTTTGTACAATTTTAAAAAAATTAATTTTACATAAAAGCGTATTTACAATATTTTTTAAATATTTTCATATTTAATTTAATTAATTACTTTTCGATGTTTAATAACTCATAACTAATAATTCTCCTCTATTCCCAATTACTTCTGTAAATTATTCCTTGCCCATCTCAGATGAGAATGAGATGGAAAATTATCAATCATATTCTAACATTTCCACGAATAATAATTCTTTAGCTACCATTAATAAAATACAAATCATCCTCTCCCCCATTATTCCTAAACCCAAAAGAACATACCATTGTTGGATCAAAGAAAAGATTGACATGGTAAATTTTTTAGCTATGCCAGAGAAGGAACAGAGGAAGATTAAGGATGTAGCGAAATTTGTTAAAATGTCGAAGGCCTCGATTCATAAAATAAAACGGGATACATTCCCATAAATTATTGGTGATCCCTTAAAAGAATTCACTCTTAAACAAAGAGGGAGAAAAATAAAGGACACATCAAATATTGAAAGACAAATTACTATTTGGAGCTGGGCTATCTTAAGCTACCAATTGACTAAAGTAATCTAATTATATAATAAATTACGATTAACTTTTAATATTTTAATTAAATAGGTACTACTTAGCAAGAAATTTGGGATGAATATGAACTACCATTTAAATATTTCTATAATCAATATTCATGTATTAGTGTAATTACTAATATATTTCTTATTAAATATTGTTTATATGTAATATAATATATGAATTGAATAAAATATTTAATAATTTATCTCAAACATGATAAAATAGAGTGAGAGAAAAAAAACTATGACTATGATTTAATAACTAAGATGAATATTTAATTATTATTTTTAAAATTATTCCACATAAAATATCTTTAACTAAGCAAAAGAAAATATGATGACAAAACTTTTTATATTTTTTTATAAAAAAATTTTTTTAAGTGTGACATTTAAAAAGTTGTTTAATATTTTTTTAACATAGATTAATGTTTAAGCATGATTAAAATAAAAATAGAATAATATTATTTTGTTTTAACATCTGGTAAAAAATATCACCCCTTTCACTGTAGTATATGGGTCGGGTATAGGATTAATTTTTTTTTTCAAATTTAGATTATTTTAAGGATATTTATTTGGACAAATATAACATATCATTTATTCCATTTCCAAGACACCTTGGGAGAGTTTTAATTTTGTTTTTTCTTTAAATCGGAAATTTGTATACTTATTCCTGACATAACTGATAAGTGTAAAACTATTATAGGTAATTCCTACTCTTAATTATATAAAATACCATGATATTTTTATTTAAAAATCACTTTTTTTTCATTCTTATAAAACTGGATCACACTGTTACTTCTTTAGTGTGACAAATCCAATATTAATTAGTAATTAAATATATGGCTATAAAGATGATATTTAAAATGATTAAGGTAATGATCTTTAAAATAATTGAAATAAAAATTTTATATCATTTATAAATTTAGTTGGCTTTCTATATATTTCCTTTGTGTATTACACTAATGAGATTGAAGGCTAAGAAAGCTGTTAACATGTAACATAACACTCTTTTCTCTGAACTAATTGATTTTTTGTGTTTTCTTTTATATGTGGGTATTATGTAATGATAATGAATGAATAGATTTATTTTGATTGACCAACAGATTTGACCTTTAATATAATAGTACAATTTATATTTAGAATATACAAATTTGATTTTTTATCATCATCATATTTCTAAAATTCATTATGAATTTTTTCAGGTCAATAAATTTGCACCTGTGCAATTTTTTTGATAATTCTGGCTTCTTTTATTATTTCACTACAACATTTATGACTTTCTCTTCTGTAACAAATTGTAGTATTTTCAATTTTTTTTAGATATAATGAATAAAAATGAAATAATTAAAAAATTACATTCTCAAGAATATAAATTATTTGAAAACAACTCATTGAAAAGCAAAGTCTGGGATTCTTTTAGTATAATATAAGACAATCATAATAATAAAATTGGATATGTTCAATGTAAAACATGCCTCATACTTTCATATTCACAAAAAGTAGGATCATCCCATTTATCAAGGCATAAATGTAAACCAAATCCTAAAATTAAATTATCTTCTTTTTATCCAATTAAAAATGGTAAAGCATCATATACAAGTGAAAAAAAGGAAGTTATCAATAGATGTGTAAAATTTGGTGCTGTAGATATTCGCCCATTTCAATGTATAGCTGGTAAAGGCTTTAAACATTTAGCACAATATTTTATTGAAGTTGATTCAAAGAGGGGTTTGATTGACGTTAAAAATATTTTGCCAAGTCTCATTCCCATAACTATATCAAGGCATATGAATGATGTCTAAAAATTTGCACAAAAATATATTCCCAGAAGTACAAAATGCTTAAATAAATTCTTGTAGTGCAACAACTGATTTATACACAGATGACTTTAAAAAGTACACATATATAACAATAAATCTTCACTACATAATTATATGGAAATTAATAAAACGTGTTTTGTATACTTCTCTATTTTTAGAAGATAAAAAAACAAGTGAAAACATTCACAAAGAACTTGTTTCTAATTTTACAAAACTTGGATATGCTTCTGATGCATTTTATAAAATCACATTCATCATTCATCACTAATCAAGGTAGCAACTTGATAAAGGCTTTAGAACCATATAAATGATTAAACTGTTCTGCTCATCTCATTAACACTATTCTAAGAAATACCTTTTCTCTAAAATATATGAATATCAACACCTTTATTATATAACCTCATTCTAGAATGCAAATGACTAACTAGATATTTTAAACAAAGTGGATATAACAAGAATCTATCAAAGTCACTTTGCCAAGATGTTGAAACAAGATGGAATTCAAAATTAAAAATGTTCAAAAGCATATTTTAGAATCTTTACAGAAAATAAATATATAATACAAGCTAAATGCGATTGATAAAAGTGCATTGAAATCATTAATAGAAATGTTGATAGGCAACAAGAGAGCTTGAGGGAGATACAAAGCCTACAATATTGTTTTATTAATCTATAAAAAATTGGCAAATTTAACAGTGTGTATTATTTTATATGATGCACATCAAAATAACAATGAAATTATAAAATTGAAATTAAGAGCTAAAGAATTTTTAATATCTAAATTTCAATTAGATATTCTCCACAAAATCGCAACATTTTTAAGCCCAAAATTCCGCCAATTAAGAATGCTTACTTTGGAAGAAGCATTAGATGTAAAAAATTCTCTTAGAGCGATAATGAAAGATTATTCGGAGTATCAACCTATTCCTATATATGACCTGGATGAAGTACTTGACCCTACTTTAAGTAATGCTACCAAAGTTACAAGTAGCATATTTTTTATAAATGTTTTTATCTATATAATATTTTTAGGTACATCTTCAGATCTGCATGAAGTGCAGGCCCCTACTTCGAAGAGTAATCCAGTAATTTATTCTTTATGAATATTTTTAGCAATATAATATGTTTAGCTTCATCCTCATTAATGGATATGTCTTCATGGGAGGATGATACAATGCTTAATAATGAGGCTGATAAGGTTAATTTATATTTGGATATTAAGCAGGAGGAGGATATCAATTATGATAATCATATCATAGATTGGTAGAAGAAACATGAAAAAATTTTGCCAAAATTGGCAAGATTCGCCAAAAAAAATCATGCAATTCCAGCATCAAATGCTTCAAGTGAACGAAATTTCAGCACTATTGGAAGAGTTATCGAAGAGAGAAAGACAAATTTAAACAATGAAATTGTTGATAATATATTATTTTTAAATGATATTTTGAAAATATATATTAAAATTTTGTTTATATCATTTATTAATATTATATATATATATATAATAAAATATTGTATTTCCATTAGTATTACTTCAGCATGAGTATTCATAAAATAATTTAATGGGCTTGAGAAAATTGTTTGAAACTTATCATGGGCTTGGGAATTTTTTTAACATTAGATATAAGCCCGGCCAGGCTTGGTCAAAAAATTAAGGCCCATGAAGGTCTCTGATACTACATGAGAAATTATGATCAACCAAATTCATTCCTCTTTTTGCTTAATCCTTAATTTTTACCATCTCCTCTAGAAAGCAAGAATCAAAAAAAAATATATATATAACGTTTAACAAGTATTGAGAATTTTAAAATTTATAAAAATCATCATACGATCGTCGGGGTTTTCTGCCAGCAATTTTGATAGGTTGAAAGCAGGTTTCTTTTCACCGTCGGCAGAAATATTATCTAAAAAGATGAATACATATTAAATAAATTTAATGGTGAAATAAATATAGAAATTATTTAGTTTGCTCTTTTAATCATGTTATATTTAAATTAGCATATCTAAATCGAAGTATTAATATCAGAGACCTAATAGGGATAGTATAATTATATCAAATTAATTTAAATCTTGTAAATTTAATGATTTCTTTTAATAAAAATTAAGATTTAATTCAATTTTATATTTTACTTGTGGGTCATTCCATGTCAAATCAATCACTTTACAACCCGACCATCTCAGATTTTGTTAAAATTTGGTATTTAAGTTAGTAAAGTATTGTAAGTGACGAATCCAAAATATTAGACTCTTAACTCTATTAGAACCGGAGATATAGGGCTTCAAAGTGGCTCAGCTTGGTCATTTTTTGAAAAAAATGAATTTTTAAAATTGGGATAACTTTTATACTAGATGCACTATGTATATCTATTATGGCTCATTTTATAGCCCTAAGTAAACTCTTGAACGTATGTTAAATAAAATTAATTTTTAGTTTATATATTTTTCTTAAATTGCGGTTAAAAATTTGTGATTAAATTTTTAAAATGTTAGACTAAAAATTTTTTTCCAAATTTCAGATATTCTGTAAAGATTACCAAGAACTGTTCATATAAAAAATTTCAGAGTGGGCCCAAAAATATTAATTAGAAAAAATTTCATTTTTGAAAAATCCGATAGATGGCGTCGGTAATTTAAAATATCAATTTTAACAATATAAGTCAAATTTTTTTTATTCCATAATAAAATATATATCGAATAATTAATAATAGTAAGCTTAAAATAATTTTAATTAAATTATCGATTTTTCGAAAAAATTTTTCCAATAATTTATCGTCTGTTATTTTTCCTAAAATTTATAATTTTTAAAATTAATTAATTTATTAATATTTTATTAAAATGTTTTGTACAAATCCATTAAATCTGCCAAATCATTATTCCAAAAAAGGACTTCGTAAAGTCAGTATTTGGATGACAATGTATTATAAAATTAACAAAGGAGATTATATTTGTCCTAAATGTCGCAAATCTTTATATAAAAAGAAGAAAGATGTTTCAATTTTAGAGGATAGTAACATAGCTACAACCTCAAATAATTTCCTAAACTCCATCCATATAGAAAATAATTATCCAAATAATAACGATAATGCGCAAATCCCTACAATTTTTTTAGAATCTTTAAATTCTACTTTAGATCAAATGGGGCATTCACCAATAAAAAAAAAGAGACTAAGAGAGAAAGGATATCCCAAGAAAAAACTTGGCAGAATTTCAACCGCGATTGCCAAAATTCTTCAACCCAAAACGAATACAAATGGTAGCGAAGATTTAATAACTCATATGAAAAATAATTATCCATTATTGTCGAAAACACAAAAATATCTTTTATTAACGACATTACCCTAAAATTGGAGCATTCAAAAAATTAAAAAACAATTTAACGCTTCGTTTTATATGATCCGTAATTCAAAATTTATTCTTGGTCAAAAGGGGATTCTTTCAACTCCCAATCCGAGAGCAGGTAAAACCATAAATCAGGGCGCAGTTGACACTGTAAAAAGTTTCTATTTAAATGACGAATATAGTAGATTATTACCCGGAAAAAAAGATTGCGTTTCTATAATTGAAAATGATGAAAGGATTAACGTTCAAAAAAGGTTAATTCTTAATAATTTAAAAGAAATCTATATAAATTTCAAAACTATCTACCCTTCTCCATTGCGCCCTAAAAATTGCATAATGCCAGGTTCAAGTGTCACTCACTCGGTTTGTGTCTGCCTAATCCATCAGAATGTTAAGTTGCTAATAATAGGTAGCAATTTAGCAACTTTAACAAAAAATAGGGATTTTGAGATAAAGACTTACAAAGACATAATTCCAAAAATGATTTGTAATCCTCCCCTACCAGCCTGTTATTTTGGCGAATGTCATGAATGTCCGGGGTACCAAGAATTAAGGGCTAAATTAGAAAATTTATTAATTGCACATGATATATACAGGATATGGATATCTGTAGATAGAACCAGTCTAGAAACCCTAACGCAAACAGCTGACGAATTTCTTAATTACTTATTTGAAAAAATATTTATTTTGATTCGCCATGCTTTTATTACTGAACAACAAAACAGATTCCATCAGAATCTTAAAAATATTTTAGAGCATAATCATTATTTGATTATCTGTGATTTTTCTGAAAATTACTCATTTATACTTCAAGATGAAGTCCAAAGTTATCACTGGGCCACTTCCCAGGTTACTCTACATCCATTTGGAATATATTATAAAGTAAATAATGTATTAAATCATATAAGTTATGTGGCCATATCTGAATCGCTGGAACATAACACTTGTTTATTTTATTTATTCCAAAAAAAATTGATAAATTTACTAAAAAATTACTTTTTATCCGATCCAAAATACATTTTTTATTATTCCGATGGGTCCGCGGCTCAATATAAAAATAGGAAAATTTTTATAAATTTGTGTTATCATCAAGTAGACTTCGCCATCCCAGCAGAATGGCATTTTTTTTCTACTGCCCATGGGAAAAATGTTTGCGATGGAATAGGGGGAACCGTTAAACGCTTGGCTGCGCGGGCCAGTTTACAACGTCCTTATGATAATCAAATAAAATCTCCCTATGAATTCTTTAAATTTGCTGAGGAAAATATAAAAAATATTTATTTTTCCTATACAACCCATAAAGAATACCAAGATGAGCAAGAATTTTTAGCGGAACGATTTGCAAGAGCTCTTTCAATTCCTGGTACTCAAAAAATTCATGCAGTCTATCCTGTTAATTTATCACAAATAAATACAAAAAAATATTCCAGTGCTATTGAAGCCAAATTAGAAAAAATACAAAATATAATAAGAGAAATATCAACTAAAGAATATAAAGGGTATGTTACATGTTTATATGATAATGAATGGTGGGTAGCATACATTCAAGATATTATTAGCGATGCTGAAATAAAGGTAATTTTTTTACATCCAAAAGGACCTTCTCAATCCTTTTATTATCCATCAATACCAGATATTCTAATTATTCCGATATATGATATTCTCACAATTGTCAACCCCTTGACAGCCACCGGAAGTACATACACTTTAACTAATGATGAATCTAACTTGGCAATATATAAATTAAATTTAAAGAAATTTAATTAAAATTATTTTAAGCTTACTATTATTAATTATTCGATATATATTTTATTAAGGAATAAAAAAAATTTGACTTATATTGTTAAAATTGATATTTTAAATTACCGACGCCATCTAGCGGATTTTTCAAAAATGTGATTTTCTCTAATTAATATTTTTGGGTCCACTCTGAAATTTTTTATATGAACAGTTCTTGGTAATCTTTACAAAATATCTGAAATTTGGAAAAAAAATTTTAGTCTAACATTTTAAAAAAATAATCACAAATTTTTAACCGCAATTTAAAAAAAATATATAAACTAAAAATTAATTTTATTTAACATACGTTCAAGAGTTTACTTAGAGCTATAAAATGAGCCATAATAGATATACATGGTGCATCTAGTATAAAAGTTATCCCAATTTTAAAAATTCATTTTTTTCAAAAAATGACCAAGCTGAGCCACTTTGAAGCCTTATATCTCCGGTTCTAATAGAGTTAAGAGTCTAATATTTTGGATTCGTCACTTACAATACTTTACTAACTTAAATACCAAATTTTAACAAAATCTGAGATGGTCGGGTTGTAAAGTGATTGATTTGACATGGAATGACCCTTGTAATTAAAATAATTTGAGTCATTCTGACAAATAGACCAAAAAAAATATTTCCTACCACCATGTTTAAAAATAAACGAAACTATGTATGATAGTTACATATAAAAATCTCTTCAAAATTTGATAAAATTGTCTGATTTTTATAGAGCAGATATTGCTGTTTTACCAAAAAAAAATACATCAATACTGAAGAATTTTAAATATTTTCTTAAAGTATTTTCAGAATTTTTTTATTAAGCTCCAGATAACTATCAAAAAAATATTCAAAATAGTCGAGCATTAACGAAATCTCGGGGTTTCTGCAATATTATTTTGGCTAAAATCTTAATCTAAATGGCGAAATCGAGCAGTTTAACCACTAAAGATGTGTCCAAAAACCATTGTTAGGTAAAATATTAAAAAATGCCAAATCTTGATAATTGATGTGATAAATATAGAACTTATTCGTTTAACTCTCATTAATGCAAAATTTTTTAAAAATAAAGCCAAGTAAATATTAATACAATCGAAATGAATCAATTTCAGGTTATGGATTCTTTTATAAAAAACCTTGAAAGTGAGTTTAATGTGAATATTGGGTTTAACTCTAACATTCTAGCTCACTTCGATATTAAATGATTTTGAGGATTTTGAATTTTGCCAATCTAGATATTGATAAAAGGGTTATAATTTTATAGCTATAAATAATATTTTATAACTTTATTGCATTTTTTCAACAGTTTATAGAGATAAATTCATCGCTGCTATTATTCATCCTGCATTTAAATTGAATTGGGAACAGATAAGCAGAGACCAAATAAAGAATTCAAATTAATTCTCAGGAAGATAATATACTAGACTATATTTAAAAAATAATTTTCCAAAATACAAAACCCCTTCTTTCATCTTGTGTTCCATTGAGGCTTATTTATTAATGCTAAACAGGCTTTATACGAAGCTTCTCGTCAGATTCAAATTTATAAAATTTGCTACTTTTTATAAATTTTTTGATACATCATTTTCTTTGAAATATACAGTACTTTATATTATAAAAACTAAAGGAACAGAGCAGCGCTTTTTCTAAGAATTTGGAGCAGGAGCACGTTTCCTTTTAAAACTAAGTAGCGAGAGCTAGCTTCTTTTAAAAAGGAGTTTAAGCAACTATAATCGAATTTATCATTTTTACCTAGTTTTATTTATCATGTTCTTCTAATTTAACAATATCCATATTACTTTTCCTCTACAGTATTGAAGAAATTACAAAAACACCAGCTAATATATCACTGATGATAAAAAGACTTAGGAAATATTTTATTTACCAAAAATTATAATATATTAAATACATAATAAAATAAATCGGCTTTTTGGTTCTAAGATGGACTCATCCTTAGTACGGAAGGAAAAGCCGTTTTTAGGAAGGATTTTCAATAACGAACTGGGTATTTATATATTTATCGGTGCAAATAAATATTAAATTGTGCTGTATTTTTATTATTTAATTCGTATTTCTATTTAAGTCTGTGTCCAAAATCTAAAAAATATAAATAAATATTATTAATTTTTAAGAAATAAAATAACATTTTTAATGTATAAATAAAATAGTGTTTTAAATCAGTTTTCTCATTTACAAAAATTTATTTTTTTGAAAAAAATAATAAAAATTAATAAATTTAAAATAAAAAATAAAAAATTTTTTCAAGATATTTATTTGGGTAATTTTTATGAAAAAACAAGTAAGTAATATTAAAAGTATGTTATTTTTCGTATTTTATTGTCGTTTTGTAAAAAAATAATGGATGATTTTGGACATTTTATAATTTTATTAATTTACGAAAATTTATAAATTTTGAAGTTTTTTTCAAAACATTTAGGACATAGCCTAAATACCTTTGACTAAAACTCGTAAATCGATAAATTTGTTTAAAAAATGATGAGCAATATAAAATATTGGACCATTGGCCCTCTATCATATAACTATTGATCACTCCTTTGGGCCAATAAGTATAGAATAGTGTTTTTAAATTCTCAGGTAATAATGTAACAAGTTTTATTTTAAATATATTGCTGGAACGTTCTGATATATATCTAAGACTGGTTAATTGATTAGCATCAAAGGAGCAACCCAATTCGAATTTTTTATAAATTTTCATAAATCTTTTACATTTTTTGCCATCTGGTGCAGGTTGGCTAGAAGGTGGGAGATTTTGATTAGAATTGGGATATTTAGGAAATAGTGAAGGTGGACGTTCGAAGGAAGGCGCTCGATTTTGGCCTATAGGGAATATTTTAATTTCATAAATTTGAGGTAAAGTTTATAGTAAATTGGCTATTATTTGATAGTCAATTTAGTGCTACTGACATTCAAAAAATTTACCTTTTATAATTTTGAAATTCTAGTTATATATAAATAATTTTTAAAAATTAGGATAACAAAAGGCATTTAAATTTACATGCTAAAATTTGTATCGAAAATAAAAAATTACCTTAACCCTTCAATCACTGGTGGGGTATATGAAACCCCAGGCATGCTAGTAATGATATAAAAACGTTTAAATATTATGATCTGGATTCTTCAGTAGCTTCATCAAATATATCTTAGAATCTATATTCTAAATTTCATATATTTTGGTTGATTAGTTTTTAAGATATAAGCATTTTGTGACTGAATGGAGTTTGTGAGACCCCACAACTTTTTAATTTTTTAAGAAATTTTTAAAAAAAATTTTTTTAAATTATAAATATATACTATATTATAAAATTTATCAAAACAAAATTTAAATATCTTATATTTTGAATGAGATATATGAAAAAGAAAACGTAAAGATTTTCTCTGGTGGAGTTATTTTATTATTATTTTTCACCAGCTGACTCAAATTATTTTATCATTTAAAATAATTTTTGCAGATTCTGAAACTAAATATATAATTATTTAAGATGTAATATAATATTATTTGAGGTGATTATGACAATATAATTAATAGTGAGTATTAAGATTTTATACATGATAGTGATCATGATTAGAGACCTTCATGGGCCAGGCTTGGGCCTAATTATAAATTTTAGAGCACGCCTGGGCCGGGCTTGGGCCTAAATTTTTAAATTCAAATTTAGCTTATTTTAAGGATATTTAATAGGACAAATATAACAAATCATTCTGATTTTATAAGTGTTATTTATCAAATATCCTATACACCTTGGGAGAGTATATATTTTTTTAAATAGGAAATTGGTGTAATTTTACTTAATTTAACACAATGGCCTGGGCACGAAACAGCAAAAATGAGGGAATATTCCCAAAAATGTTCCCAAAGATGACCAACATTGATATGACATATATTTTCCCAAGTTAGCGTCAAATTCAAAGCAAAATCCCAACAGTAGCAGAAAATTTAAAAACAATTGTTAGACGTAGACAAATAGATATTCAAGTAAACTTATTATAATATTTGAAAATAAAATTTTAATTATAAAACTCAAAAAGGACATAATTTCTTAGTAATTTATTCTTTATAAATCTTTTTAGCTTATAATATTTTTAGCTTCATCCTCATTATTAGATATGCCTTCATGGGAGGATGATACAATACTTCATAATGAGACGGATGCTGATGAGATTAATTTATACATGGATATTCAGCTAAATGAAGAGGATATCAACTATGATGACTGCATCCTAGATTGGTGGAAGAAGCATGAAAAAATCTTGCCAAAATTGGCAAGATTAGCCAAAAAAATTCATGCAATTCCAGTATCTAATGTTTCCAGTGAACGGAATTTCAGTACTATTGGAAGGGTTATTGAAGAAAGAAGAACAAATTTAAATAACGAAATTGTATATAATATATTATTTTTAAATGATAATTTGAAAATATAAATTAAAATTTTGTTTATATCATTTATTAATATTATATATATATTATTACTAAATAAAATATTATATTTCTATTAGTATTACTTCAGCATAAGTTAAGTATACACAAAATAATTTTATGGGCTTGGGAAATTTTTTAAATATTATAGCGGGCTTGGGAATTTTTTTAAATATTAAAAACGGGCAGGGCCTGGGCTTAAAATTTTTTTTTACGATGGGCCTGGGCCGGGCTTGGTCCTAAAATCTTAGCCCATGAAGGTCTCTAATCATGATACACAATCTGAATTAGATGAAGAAGAAATGTTAGTTGAAAACAATAAACTTAATATTATTTAGGTAAATATGAAATCATTTATCATAGTATATTTCTCTAAATTAGCTAAAAAAAATTACTTTACTAAATGGAAAAATGATCTTCCCAATCAAAGAATAAGAACTCATCAACAAAATTTAGTTATTCATCTACCAGGAGTAAAAGAATAAGAGAAAGAAGCTACACTCCAGAAAAATGTTTTGACTTGTTCACAACACAAAAATGATTGAAGAGATTATTTGTCATACCAATGAAAAAATTAAAATTATTTGTAAATACTATACTGACCAATATGAAAGTTCTACTAAAGAAGATTATGTAACACAATTCAAGACATTATTGGGAAATCTTTATTTAGCTGGAATTTTTAAATCTAACCATCAAAATAAAAAAAACTTTTTTTCAAATATGTAAAACAAATTTATGTTTAGAACACATTAATGTTTTATGTAATAAATGTTTTGCATGTCAAAACATATTTCAATGTTCTATATTTTTTTTATGTTTGAATGTATTAGTGTAATTCTTTTTTATAATGAAGAATAAAGATCCATATTATGAATTATCATGATAATATGATAGATAAGTTAATTTTTTAAATTGAATATTTGAAATTTTGGCACAAATTATAATTATCCTCATCATCTTTAATTTAAGCTTAAGAAATAAAAATAAATAAATATTTTATCAAGTTTAAGGTTAGTTCAATCTTATATCCAAATATTAAATAAAAATAATGAATGGGGATATATACATTTGAAATTGGAGTCTATTAAACCCCACCCGAGTACTAACGTCATTTTTTCACCAGAGTATTGAAGGGTTAAATGACACGAAATTTTAATTTTTAGTATTATTACTCTTAAAAAAATCACATAATTACAAATAACGTTAAGTTGCCCTGACCCTTGGTATTCTAAAAGGAGACTAAAATTTTGGATTTAAGTTTTCTCATATTTTAACCCTACAAAATTTTAAAAAAGTAATTTGACATGAAATTACTTAATTCTATATTTTCAAACAGAATCTGATAGATACCAAAATGAATTAATGACTAATATAATAGATATCATTTTCTAAGATTAAAGTTAAAACATTTCAAGCTTAAGCTAATTCAATTTATTTAAGAATAATGAAAAGTCTAACCCCTTCCAGTATAACTATTAGATTCGTTAAATCGTGAATTTGGTGGAAATCCAGTCGATTTCCCATAATCAGACATGGAACCGGTATATGGAGCTCTATTGACGTGGGTCTGTTGCTGGTGCAAAGAATTGTTGGGGTTAGAAAGGTTATTTCTCGAACCTTAAAAAATAAAAATCTGATTAACAAATAAATATAGTTCATAAGTGTATTAATGGGTTCTGCATGGGAACTCGAACAAAGATTCCCTCAGACTTGTCAGATTGGGGTAATACTAAAATTTTAATCCTTTATATTTTGTTTTCCTAATATTTTTATAAATATTTTTCCCAAGAATAACGAAAAACCTTTATTTTCTTTCAGCGCTTATGATTTTTCAAAATCCAATAAAAAATAAAATCAGATTGAAATAAAATTTTTAATCGGACCAGAATGAAATCCTTGAAGGAAAATATCAGTCAGATACAAATTGTTAAAATTATTTTATGATCAGACCAGACTTGAAAAATAGGTCCGCTAAGGTCGACAGACTTTGACTTGATCATACAATACTTATTACATGTTCAGATAAAAGAATAACATAAAAAACTAGAAATTTTACCAAAAATGGTCATATTTATGAGGTTAGTACCTGCGTCCTTAAAATACAAGTGAATAAGTGGAATTGTAGTTAGTGCCTTTCCAAGCAAAGAGATATATATCAAAAACAATTTCTAATTGAATTTTACTAACAAAAACATTTGTAGAAGCAGGGTCATCTTACCAAGTTCTCAAAAAAATTAAGCAGATAGATGAATTGCAAGGATAAAAATTTCAGCTAGTTACCATTTCACACACATAGAAACTTAGGCCTTAAAAGTAATAACACATGCATACAACTAGAATAGGTACAACACTGGGCAATTTTGTTACCAAATTAATGTGAAAGGATGTTTTTCTACATTCAAATTTTATACTAGGCATAAATCTAAATTCTTAGATTAATTAATATAATATTGATTTTCAGCATTACAATAGCTTTTTTTCTAGTGAAACAAACATGATTCATTGGGATTGTCCCCATACACTTTTGATGGGTCTATGACCCTTTTGCCTTGCCTTCGGCCGAGTTTATATTCAAAAATTTATATCTTATAGCATTATATATAGATAAATACATTGGACCCAAAACAATTTATAGATTGTTTAAAATATAAATTATATAAATCAATTGTACAAAAAATATAAATTTAGAGTTTTATTTCTAAACTAAAATTTTTTTATTATTATTAAACATCGCTCAACTATAGCCATTTATAAATAAAATAATCAATGAAAAATAGAAAAATGAATAAAAAAGTGTTACAATCAAAGGCCAAATCATGAAATCTGGCAACCCTATCTCCATTCATATATAACTGATATAAAATTCAACAATAATTTTATTTTGACTTAAAAAATTATTACTGCATAATCTAATGAACCAATAAGTTATAAATATTTCATATTTTTTGATTTGATTTCTAAATTTTAAATTATAGAATCTATTTTAAGTCATGGTAGAATGCTAACACATTTTAATTAACTTCAACCTCGAGAAGTTTCTTACTGCACTAGGGATGTACCGATATTTTTATCGGATTGGATCGGGCCAATATTTTATCCATTTTAAAATATCGGTTATCGGTCAATATTATAAAATTTTCCGATCCGATATAAAATGGCGTCTTTAACAAAAATAAAATGTTATCAAATTTTTTTTTAAAGTTATATTTTAAATCATTTATTTTTATAAATAAATTCGAAATCCATTTTTATGTATATTTTTTTAATAATAATAATTAATTAATAAACATTCTGCCATATTGCTATTTTTTTGCGCATTCTGTTTATAAAAGTGTGCGATAATCTCTTCAGAATCAGTTTTTAGTTAAGCTGGTGTAATTGACAATTACCATCGCCGCAGGCTGACCTCTGATAAATTGGAAATTTTGGTATTTCTAAAAAGAAATCTTCGATATATTAATGTAAAATATTATTTTAAATATTTATTTCAAATTTTATATAAATTTGTTTATTACTTATTATGAATATAGATTTATGTTATACTTATTATATAAAAGTGATTTAACAATAAAAATATTTTATATACTTTTAGAATTGCAAATGAATTGAATATAAACTATAACTGATCATTATAATATAATGACATAAATTATAGTATAGTTAAATTATATACTAATAAAAAGTATATTAAAAATTAAAACCATTGATATCTTTACAGAATACAAAATTAGATATGATATCGGATAGGTAATCGGCCACTATTAATTTAATATTGGAAATATCGGCCTCCAAAAAGTGGTATCGGTACACCCCTACTCTGCTGCACTCAACGTTCTATGTATAGTAGGGCTGTGCTGATATTAATTATCGGATGGGCAGATATTTAGCCTTTTCCAAAAATATCGGATAAGGCCGATAACTGTAATAACGATCCGATTATTTTTACTTTTCTTTTTTTTGTTATTTAATGTATATTTATTTTATTTACATTATTATTTTCTAAATAATATTTTTTTAAACAATGCAAATGCACAACACCCCTTAAATAATATTTATTTTTAATCTTTTTAAACAATAACGCCAATTTTATTATTTATACTTTAAATAAAAAAAATTTTTAAATATGGTATCTGAATTATGGAAATATTTTACAAAATACAAAGATAATTTTGCAAAATGAGTTATCTCTGGAATTCTAATTTCACATGGAGGAATAATGAAAAATTCATTTAATGCTACCAATATCCGTAAACATTTAAAGTGATTCAAAACGACATTCGAAAAGCTAATACAAAAAAAACGAGAAATATTAGAAAATAAATCAAATCTTTTTTAAAAAAAGCCTTGAAAGTCAGCCAACAATATCAGCCATTCTTAATAAAACTAATATTTAGAAAAATTCTGATCCTAAATCCATAATTATTTCTAAATTTATAGGGGACATGATAGTCTGTGACCACCAGGATTTCTATCTTAGCGGATGTCGGTTTTAAAAGGCATTTACATAATTTATGTCTAAATTATAAAATTCCCAAAAAAAAGTATTTTTTGCAAGGTGTTATTCCGGATATATATAAATAACTCTCCAAAAAAATAGTGGATTCTACCTATTATATGCTCTATAGAACAAAAAAGGGCAAGACAGCTATTCGTTCTAATTTGGGAAATCTCTCATTATGAGTGGGAATTAGCAGAAAAGGTAATTGATGTTCTGGAACCAATTCAGAGAGTAACAAAAGAAATAAGTATGGAATCATGTTCAATTAGCAATGTTATACCTCTTGTTGAAATTCTGAAAAGTGAATTAACGATTAATGGGGACAGAGATAGAGGTGTGCAAACCATGAAGGATATCATTAATAATCAATTAACAACTCGGTTTTTTTATATTTATGATGATGATAATTATCTTATCGCACCATTACTTGATCCTTGTTATAAGGATTTCTTTTTACCAAAAAACATTTCATATATTGAAAAGCTCAGGACTGCATGTGAGTCTTTTTTTAAAGGTGATGATAATGTTCAACTTCCAACTCCTAATAAAGATTCGCCAGGTTTTATATTTTTTTAAATAAATTTATTTTATTGTTAACTGAGGTAATGACAATGAGAAAAATGTTCCACATAACATAACATTAAAAAATGCAAATTTAATTTAAGGGATGCTTATAAATTGAAAATCAAAGAGAAACTAGTAGCAAATAAAATAGTTGAAATCGATATTAATGTAGATGATGAACTGTCATACTTGATAGAAATCAAGGAATATTTAAAAGAATCTTTATATCTAGAAAGTATAACATATTTTTCATATTTAATCAAGTATTGCTTAATTGTGTTATGATTGACCCATTAGTTTGGGTGATATCTAATTATTTTTCAAAATCAACAAAAGATTGGGTTTGTATGAAACCCACTATTTTATAAATGCTAATTTTATTTTGTGTTCCTTATTTAGATATATCGAATAACATTAATATATTATATCCCCTGTGGATCCACTTGAATATTGGAGAAATGGTGAAAAGTTTTAAACTTTGTCTAAACTTGCATGTAAATTTTTTGCCCCTTCTGCAAAAAGTGTCCCATCTGAGTCTGCCTTCAGTAGGGCAGGGGATATAGATAGTCCACATAGTAGAAGCTTATTGCCAGAAAATCTAGAGGCTCTCAAATTTATTTTAAAAAATCTAATATATTATAATTTTATATATTCAACATAAAATGTATATATTATCAAATATATTTATTTTATCTATATAATTTTTTTTAATTATTGTAGAAAAATTTTTTTTAATTAAATGCATAATTCGTTTTTTTGCATAAAAAGTATTGATTTCTAATTACATTTGGTTCAAAGGGATGGTGAAAAATCAATATAAATCTCGGATCGGTTTACAACCAATATAGGATAGGTGAAAAATATGTAGATCCGCACAGCCCTAATAGTCATTAAAACTTTTAGAACAGTGAATATGGAAATATTGTTCTAAGCTTATTTGAAGATATATATTTGAAAGCTACTTTTTAAACCTTTTTCAGAGACGGAATAATTTATCTACTATAAAAAGTAGTAGATATAATACATATACTTTTAGCCTTCATTTTAATAATACCCTCTAAGGCTTTACAATTTCGCATGGAATATTTTTTATGATAATAACAAATGTAAGGGAATTCCATACCCAATCAATAACTTTTCGGTCCGATCTTTTTTGATAAAATTTTGCATATTGAGTGAATGTCATTAGAATGTATCCAAAATTTTAGCCTGATGTCAATTATCAAAAGTGCCAAATTATTTTTTAAAATTGGATAAGTTACACAATAAGGTTTATTTAGGTGCCATTTTGTACCTCTGTTAAAGGCCTTTTAGTATATATTAAAAAAATTAAAACAATGTGGTTTTTATTTACGTTATAAATTTTATATCTAAGGGATCCAATCTATTTGTAAAAAATTTATACTTAAAACAGCTATTGATTTTTTTAGTGAAGTTAATATTTTTTCAAAAATAGATCGCGCTACTATATATATTTCCAGTATTAATATCATGAAATAATATTATATAAGTCGAGAGATAGAACACTATATTTTTAATAAATGTGGCAAACGTTTTTTACAAACAAAAATTTAACTTTTTTCCTAGAAAAAGATGATTATAACCGCAGCTAAGTATTTCATGATATTAATGCTGAAAAATTTTATTATTCATGCTTAAGAATAAAAATAAATTTAAAAAGTAATAATTTTAAGAATTCATTAATATAGGAGCGCCATCTATTTTGGAAAAAATATTAATCTATATTTTTTAAATCGCAATAACTAAAATATATATTTGAATGTTTATATATATTTTAAAAGGTTACACTATTTGAATTATATATTATTATAACTTTCTTACATTTAATATTATCTTATGGAGGTCAATGTAATTGCATATTAGTAGAAGTTAAATGACATAATTATAAAAGACTATTGATAGGAAACAATTTTATAATAAAGAATCTATTATTTTGACAAAAATCTCAACTTCAAATTTTCTTATAAATAGCTATAATATAAGTGTATAATAAAATATTAAACTCAAAGAAATTAGGAAAGCGAAACACCTGGAGTTTTTAGTCTTCAAACTTTATAAGGTTTAAAAAATATTTTAATATTTCAAAGCGCTTATACAGTTACAAAACACCCTAATTTATTTTTACCATATTAACCTATCTCAATTCTTGAAATATCGTATTTTTCGAAAAAGGTATTCTTTGACACTTTTGATTGACAATTGATATCTCAAAAACTACTAGGAGATTAAAATTTTGGATGCCTTCTATTACCAAAAGTATGAGTATTATTCTATTCAACAAACTAAATTAGAATAATTATTTTATACTTTATTTTTAAAAATTAACATTTCCACTATCCATGTGGGCATTTTTCTTTTTGATACCCTCTTGGCCTTGATTAAAGATTAAAATTATATATTTTTTCTGGGAACCGAAAAGAACAGAACAATTTTTTGTCTAATGAATAAACACAAAAATGAGTAGAGATCTAGGACTATATCAAATATCAAGCAAATTTTACCATAAGATGTATCATAGTTTCTTTGACTATTGCGATTCGAGCTTGCATAATCACTACCCCTTCGATTGCTGTCTCTATATATACATTTGTTTTAATTTTAACAAATATTGTAAATTTCTAAGGATAAATAAGGCTATATACCAGAGTGTTTTAGCGATATTTTTAAGATAGAAGCCAAAAATCGAACGTTGCAAATATTGTTTTTAAAAATTGGAATATTTCGAGTGTTCATGATTATAATTTTATCATCTGCTTACTAATTGTATTGGTTCCAAATCTAAATCGCTAAAAATTTGGGCTTAATCTCCTAGAAAATTTTTAAGTCAATTTTAAATTAATATTAATAGATTAAATTGAATTTTTTTAAAAATCGAGAATTCCCTGAGAATCTAATACTATTAATTTCAAATTTATTTTTCTAGAATTCCCAATTTTCAGCGAATTAGAACCTATCCTATAAATTATAACTATATCTTTTAAATATTTAAAGAAAGTATTATATGTTTATATTATAATTTCACCAAATATTAATTATGGAACCAAGTTAGCAAAAAAACTAACATCTATTTTAAATCCTATTTTATTTTTAAAATGAGTATTATATTTTATAAGAGCTTCTAAACGTAATTTGACAATTTTGGATTTCGTCAAAGTATTATATTTTTTCGGATGTATTTAGTATTTACATTAAAACACTTTCTTTTAAATGTATTTGTATATATTTATATTGGAATAAATTTTTTTGAAAATTTGCCCAACCATGAGATATGTTTAGTTCAAATTTTTTTATAATATTAAATGTTCAATTAAGATGCTAAAAGGCTCTAGTATGGCCGTATAAGAGATTTCTCTGATAATTATACTTTATTTTTAACAATATTAACGGTATTCTTATATTATATATTCAAAAAAATTCGAGATGCACGATATATGGAACTGACAACTATCTAATACATAAGCACCTTGGAATGTTTGTAATAAAGAAATCGGTAGTGGCAAATATTTAAATAGAAATTAGTTTGAGATCTGAAAGAAAAGTGGAATAGGATATTTGCCGATTTGTGCATTTCATTTCGATCCAAATATTTCTACTTAATATATGTATAAGTCTTAATCCTTTTATGACACCTTTTTTTCTTAATTTACTCAATGCTTAAATTATAATTCCAAGATAATTATACAACAGTTATCAGCAGCCAAATACGGGTATTGTGCAGCTACAATGAAGAGAACATTCAAAAAATTAATCATTTAAAACAGTCACTTTATTACATAGACCTCCAACTCCACTTTGATCGATTTTAAAAGAAATATATAATTATACTATGGTATATAAAAAAAAAATTTAAAGTTATTTTGGAGTTTTTTTTAAAAATGAGAGGTAAGGAAGATTAGGCCTTAACTAAATTCACTAAGAGTGAAATTAGATCCTAAATTAAGCGACTTTTTAAAATATAACCTGGATCTGTTTTCATAATTGAAGGATGGATTATTAGTATCTTGAAATTTCCAAGGTGCATCAGTTTGATATTGATATTTGCCATAATTGTTGGATCTGTTATCTAATGGAAACGATATTAATATAAAAAAAATTAGTCCTTTTGATTTTGGTAATATTTTTGGATAAAATATATTGATTTCTTATTTACAATTGGTTCAAAGGGGGATGGTGAAAAATCAATATAAATATCGGATCGGTGAAAAAATCAATGTAAATATCGGATCGGTGAAAAATATGCCGATCGGCATAGCCCTATTTGAAAGCGTATCTGGAGCAAATAAAATTTAATTAATAACGCTTTGAAAAAAATAGGTTATGAATCAGACCTAGTAGAACTATTAGCTTTTCTTTCAAAATTCAAAGAAATAGTTGAACTTCTATCTATACAAGAAGACCTAGACATTATATCACTTCTTAGAAGTGAAATTGAAACAAATTTAATAGTAAATGATAATGAAAGCTCGGAAATAAAGAAAAATATGCTTAAAAAAGTATGCGTTACATTTCCCGTTTATGATCTGCAAGTAATAATATATAGGTATGTTCATTTATTTAAAATATTTATTATTTCAAAAATAATCTAGATGTTAGCATCAGAATTTATTATAAAACATCTTAAAAGTATAGAGCATGATGATATTAGGGAAGTAAATATAGTGATTAAAAATTAACATGAAATATTCAAATAAACATATTTAGCAAAATTAGCAAATGAACCTTAAACAACTTAGACAAATAATTTCAACTTTAAGTGATTTAGAATAAGAATGTCAATGCCATATTTTTCTCGGAAAACGCGATTCACAAGATATGGATGTTCCAAATTTCTGGAGAGAAAAGGTGGATCGAGTTTCCTAATTTTTCCATGCTAGCTAAAAAAAAATTGGATTCCAGCAACTAGCACACTTAGTAAAAAAGTTTTTTCTACGACTAGGTTGACGTTGAATTTATGAAGATCCATTATGTCCACTATATTTAATAAAATTATATTTATACATGATAAGTATAAAATTGCAATGCCAAGATAATTTCTAGTGAAGTGTATATTTTAATTTATTTTTCAAAAAAATTTATTAGCAATTAAAAAAATATTATAACAGTGAACAGATTGGATTGTTGAAACTCGTGGGTCTAGTTATATGTAATTGGTATTTTAGAGCTCTAAAATTCGGAAGTATGTTTTACTGTAGAATATGCTGAGCCGTTTAAGAGATAATAATGATTTAAACGAATATTAATAATATTCATTGTGCATTGCACATAATAAAAATATAATTTATTATATTTTTGAGATTCAATAATACAATTAATGAATGCATAATATAATATTTGACTTATGGTAATACCAATTTTATAAAATATTTTTTAAATATGTGAAACCAATAATTGTAATGCAAAAACATTAACAAACCTAATCCATTCCAGAGTTGTTAAAAAGCGACGCTCCAAGACCTTTAAAAACCAGGAGTGTGGGCTGGAGCAAAAGCTAGCTCCTTTTAGGGCTGGAGTGGAGGAGTGCCACTCCACCACTCTTTTAAATTTAATGTATAAATAAAATTATTTTTTAAATATTAATATATCTATTTGTTATTTAAAATTCAATAAAAATAAAAATTTATTTTTTTAAATTTATGCAATATTAAATGTTGAGGGGAGTTTTATACTGGATCTTCAGTTAAAATATTAGTTTTTCTTTCTTTTTATATTGAAAATTTCTTGTAAGTCATATCGATATTCATTTTATAGATCCATGATAAAAAATAGTTTTTGATATTATGTATCCAGACATCATAGAAGAAGAAATCAAAATAAAAAATAAATTATCTATTTAAATAACTATATTGCAGATTTTTAAATGTTTATATTGATGAAAATATAAATATCATAGTGGCTATTATCCATCATGCATTCAAATTAAATTGGGAATGGATAAAAAATGCACAAAATATGGAACTAAAATACAAATTAATTAATTTTTTAAGAAAAAAAATTCCTGATGCAAAAATAGCTACTAGTTAACAGGAACCCTGCAATGATTTGGAAAATTTTTTGGATTCCATGAATTGATCATCAGAAAGATAATATATTGGACAAATATTTTTCAAATAATGATAACAATACTATTTTTGATAAATTTCCTGATATTTTTAAAATACAATACTCTGCTTCCCTCTAGTGCTCCTGTTGAGTGTCTGTTTAGCATTGCTAAACAGAGGGGAGAGGTGTAGATGTTTGTTAGATTCAAATTTAGAAAATTTATTACTTTTAAAAACTAATAAAAGATTATAAATATTTTGATATATTATTTAATATAAATAAAAAAATTTGGATAAAAAAATAAGATTGTTTTGTGTACTTTCTAAAAAAACGAAAATCAAAGTAGTGGCTATGGATTGGCAATCTACTTAAAAAGAGCTATCTCCATTAAAAAATATAGTAGTGGGAGGAGTGGGGGTGGTAGCTAACTACTTTTAAATATGAGTGCTAACAACTCTGCCATTGATTCTTGAATGGTAAAGTTAGTGTTAAATTTGGTTACGCATAATCTATCCCCATTTTATAACTGTTATCTCACTAAAATATTTATATTACAATACTTTATTCTAAGATATTATAAAGAGATTCAAAAATAAAGTAAAATTTCTATAAATAATTTATATCTAATAGTTTTCAGATTATGCATTTTTAAAATTTTTTAAATTAAAATGAGGTCTATTTGTCCCCAAAAAATTCATGATTTTTGTAGTACTTACTTAAAACAAATTATTTGTTATCTGATATTCGTATTTTACAAATATGAATCACAAGACTCAAATCAAATAAAAATATATTATCTATTTTTTGGCACTTATTTGATCGATTATTCATATTATTTGAAATTATTTATAAATATCAAAATTATCTCAAAATATTACAAATTATTTATTATTCTTAAGTATCTCCTTCCAGGGATGTTAGCCCAGATCTAGGACCCTCATATTTTTACTATACCAAACCAAGACTCCTTTAAAGAGTGAAGATTTCAATATTATACAATGTAAATTATTTTTATAATTATATATATTTTATCCATTTTTTTAAATAAGAAATATATCAGTTAATTCGATATTTATTTATTTCTTAATTTTTTTATTCTTTAAATTAAAATATCCCATAATACAAATTTCATGGTCAATACAATAACTTTTACTGCTGGAGAAAATGGGAAATATTGGAATTTTATGAATGTAAATTTTGCTCAGGTATATTTATTTTCTTCAAGTAGCAGACTAAAAGATCATAATAGTTTAAGAATGATAAATGGTCAAGCAGAAAATGGAATTTTACTTCTAACATCAACATCATGAGTGAGCATGCACCAACTCCCTATAATTTTGTTTACAAAATTCAATAACCATATATTTCAATGAAGGAATGTAAATGAATACTTGATTGTCTTTTATTATGTAATGTTAAATTTATTGTATTTTAAAATTAAATATAAATATAAATGATTATGAAGATAAAAAAATTTGCAATATATTAATATAATAGCAATAAAAAAAATTTTAAGAAAATAAAAAATCGGTTTTTTCATTCCTAGTTCTGGGTGTCAAAAAATATATTAAAATACTTTTTCTTCACGTTTTACAAAATATTCTGGTTTTCATACTTATGCTAGTAATATAATAGGAATATGCTGCTTATCTTGTTTTAATTCAATTTAGGAAAGTAAAATATTGATATAAGTATTGGATCGGCATCGACATTGTAATTTTAGAAAAAATATTGGCCAATATTTTTTAAAAATTTAGATACCAATTTATACAAATTTTTTATTTATTTCTAAAGTAATTTCCCTTTCTTGTAATAAATCCTCATAACTCCCAATTGATAGAAGAATCAAATTTATACTACTATAAAAGAAAATTATACAAAATTTTTGTGTATAAATTATATGTCTAAGAAAAACTTATAGTAAATAAAAATTGTGAATTTAAATTTGATTAATTAATCAAGATATCAATATTTTATCTCAGATTAATCCTGTTAATTATTGGAGGGTTAAGGCTCAAAGGTTTCCAACTTTGGCAATCTATTCATCTAAATATTGGGTGTCTCCTGCAACAAGTGTTCTATCAAAATCAGTCTTTAGCATAGCTGGTGATATATAGTGTTGTTAAATGGTTCAATTTGAGCCCCTTTTAAAAAAAAGGCAAATTCAATATTTTCCCAATAAAAATATTGATTGCTTTAAGATTTTGCTAATATATGTATATGACCAAAATCTTAAAGCCTGCATAATATTTTTCTAAATAAAATATGAGGTTAGTCATTTTTAAAAGTCAGCTAAAATCAAGTCGCTATACAACCCTAGATTTAGCTGATAGGAGAAACTAATTATCACATAAACTTGAGGTTCTTATTTTTATAAGAAAAATATCCAATGTTATAATTTTAATTTTTTTATATAATTTATTAATTGATATTGATATTTAATTTTTTTTTACTTTGAATTCTAATAAAGATAGTTTGTAATACATAAAATTTAATATAAATATATAGTGTTATGGCTAATGTTGTTAAACCCCTCTTTTTGAGTTGATTTTTCCAAATGGCTAAACCAATATTTTAGCCAGAAAAATATTGCTTAAGCCTTGAGATTTTGATAATATGTCTAAACTTTTTTTCTTTCTATGAGCAAAATCTTCAGGTTTGAGTAATATTTTTCTGGATAAAATATCAAGTTAGCCGTTTTTAAAAATAGGATCAAAACGTGCCATTTAAAAACACTAGTTCTGGCATATAAATTTACACTTATTTAAATTAAGACTAAAATAGATAAGTAAACATTCTGGTGATTATTAAAAAAATAATATGGAACTATATGTATAACTTATTATAAAAAGTTTCCACAAGTTTAAAGATAGCATTTTAAAGCATTGAGCACATTTAATTTTTAAGAACCCGGATAAGTAAATATTTTGAATAAAATGCTTTTAAAAAAATTAATATTCTTTTTAGTATTCTTAGTCTTATATTATATAAAATATTGAAAAAAAAATTAATGTAAATATCTGTATCAAATCAGTTATATTTGAAATAAATATCGGATTAGAGAAAGAATTGTGGGTCAGTGTAGCCCTAAAATATTAGGGTATGATTGAGGAGTAAATTGTTGAGAATGGGTAGTGTAATTATAGAAAATTAATGTTTTGGGCAAAAATTATTTAATATGGTAACAAAATTAAATAAAATTAAAAACAAAAATCTAATATTTATTTTAAAATTATTTGATATTATAGACAAATATTTTTTTAATGGAATATAAAAAAAATTAATTAAAAAAATTGTTATTTTAAGTTAATATTTTTATCAGGGACCCAGAGTGAACCGTAACGAACCATTAAACCATTATAAATATCTGAACCATAATTACCAAACCGATATAATTATTTTTTATAGGAGTAAAAAGAACCTTAAACCTGTTCAAACTTTTTTAGTTTTTATATTTTAGAAATGGAAATAATTTGAATATCCAGAATTATATAAACTTGCTCTTATAGTACTGGTGGTTCCTGCAACACAAGTTTCTGTAAAATTTGTGTTGTTGTCATAACGAACAAAAAGAATCCATTTATATTAGAAAATATATTATTGTACATTCAAATAATTATTTAAAAATAAGTTATTTTGAATCTTATATTTTTTTTATATATATAATTCATAGATGCTTATAATAAAAATAAATTAAACGATGGTGTTACTTCAATAAAAAAAATTTCAAACCGTAATGAACCTTTATAATTAGCTGAACCAAACCGAACCTTTATAGATTTTTTTCATAAGAACAGTAATCAAACTGTAATCATTATAATTTTTTACATACTGAATCGTAACCAAACTAAACCGTCATAAATAATGGTTCGGGTCTCTAATTTTAGTAGTAAATGTGCCACATTTTAAATCTATAGGGTGTTGGTATCTAGTATACCATTCAAGAATTAAATTAGAGGTCAGTGCAGCCTAAACCAGAATGGGGCTTTTATTCGGAGTTTTACAGCTTAGTCTATATATTTTTTTGCCTTTATGAGGGAAAGTCATAAATTAACCTAATTGTAAGCTTTAAAAAATGTTAGATCTTGGCTTGGCCCATAAAAATAATAACCACAAGTTGTCCAGCTCAATTTAAACATTTTCTAGGTCATTCAAGCTGATTAACCTCTAACAGAAATGTCAGCCATAAAAATAATATCATATCAATTAAAATTATAATAAAGGTGCTAACCATAAGGCATGTAGGTGGCTACTTCAATGTTTATTGTCCTTCCACTCAACGTCTAATCAAAATATAAAATAATTGAATTAAGGTTTCTATAATATTATTATTTATAATAAAATGTGTGGATTAAAAAGTTCCTTGAATAAATAGGGAAGCCAATTCCTCAAAAAAATTGCAATTAGGATATCAAGGGTATATTAATAAAACTTAGTTTACACAAAATATATAAAGAAATTTTTTTTAAAAAAGTAATAACATCTTGATTCTTTTTCATAGCTTCTATCATATCATTTCTGGAATTGAATTCAATCTGTCCTATACCCTTTGTACCTAAGTTAAGTTCTGTTATCTGAATAGGTTTTATTTTATATATGATATTTTTTAATATATGATAGGCAATATATTTTTGTTATGTAATATATTTTTTTCAAGAGGTAATATATATGATCATAAATCTACAGTAAAATTTTTCTTGTTACATTATAAAATAATATAATCTTATAAAAATTTTATCTATTACACAAAATTTATCAGATACCTTTAATTTTTCAAAAAATTTTTCAATTTGAGAGCTTTCGATTAGATAGGGTAAATTTTTTAATTGTATTCTAAAAGGTGGCTTATCAGGTATATGGCTAAAATCCTCAATATTTTCATAAGCAGCTCTGGGAGCAGATGGGAAAGTTTTAGCTGTATTACATCCATAGGTAATATGAGTGGAATCTAAATGCAAATTACGTTTTTTAAAATTTTATATAAATTGCTATTCATTGTTTGAATAATTTTACCTATTTTATTATGTTCCATTTCATGGGCCCATGATGAAACAGAAGTTCCAAGTTCTATGGGTATCTTCTTAGGTTTCTTTTTTCCTGTGTACAAAAATAACAATTTTTAATTAAAAATAAAAAATAGTGCATTTATAAATATATATCTACCAGATGTAGCCATTTCAGCAAATATTGAATGCCATTAATTTTAATAAATTTTTTTATATAATACCAATCGAAATTTTTTTTATAAATATTAGGAAAATGAAAATAAGTAATGATTCCAAATTAGCTCGAAAAATCTTTAATGTATAAAGGATATTAATTTAAAAATTTCTTAAATTTAATTAAGGATATTATGAAAGCATAGATAGAAAATATTCTAGATAAACACAAAGATAGGTAGGTAATTTTATAACAAATAAAAATATTTTAAAAAAATATAATTTGTCAGTCAAAATGGTGTAAATGGCAGTTGTTAAACCCTACTTTTAAAAATAGAACCTCTACCTTGAAAAGTTGAATAGCCTCCTGAAGCAAAAAAAAATTTTTTTATGGTTCCTTAATATCCCCTTGAGCTAAAAATAAATGTTTTTAATTGCCCTCTGAATAATTTCTTTTATAATTCTATTGAGTAATATATAGATTTAATTTTATTAAAAAATTAATAAGACTATGTTAATTTTTATTAAATGAAAACTATTTTAATTATTAGATTAGATTATTACATATAAATTTACTATGTCAGTTGCAATCAAATTCTATGTTAAAAATATAACGATATCACTCACTAAATATTAATTTAGCATTAACAGTTGAAGCTTAATTGACTTTTATTATTTAAATTAATATATAACCCTACTTAAATATATATAATCATTTATTAATTGAAAATTAATAATTTAATATTTTAGCCGATTTCAAAATCACTAATCAAGTATATTATTGATTTTTAAATTTAATTATCATGTCTCTTCCTAAAATTATATTCAAGGTCCAAATCCAAATAAGTATATGAGATTTATTTAAAAAAGTAAGTAGACATATAGTTTATAATCCTCTATTATATATATTTTTTTATAAAATATTAAGTAAAATGCCACTTTTACAGACGTATCTGACAGTTATATAATATATTACAGTTAATATTTTAAAACTTTACTAATAAATGCTTTTGATAATAAATATAAGTAATAATTCGCTTACAAATATTTAACTCCATCTATTTATTTACAATAAAAATAAAATTAAGCGTATTATTATTCATCCTACAATGGATGTAATAAATTAGATATCTTTTCTTCTCTTTTTTACGTGTTTTTAGGAAGCTATTTTTTTCTTCTTCGGAATATAGATTTGAGTTAAATTTTTAATACGAATATATTTTTAATATTATATCAAACTACTATTATTTTAAGAAATAATATACCAACTAGAGATGGTGCGACAATAATATATAAAATCTTAATTACTTTCATGATATCACTCTGGTTCTTATTTTGTAGTTACAAAATGTTTCATTTCTAATATGGCATTTTGCCGTGTAAATAACTCAAGCTTCAATATATTTGCATAATTTCTTCTAAAGGTTTTTAGTGTTTTTGTTTTATCAATTTATCTAACAGAAAAAATTCTGATATGGGTTACCATTGTGAGTGTCATGCCTATGACTGCAAATTAACCAGCATCTATTATTTTTGTGGCTATGTAATTTAAAATTATTACTACGCTGAGAGCATATGATTGCATATTTTAGATAAGCAATAATGGTCAACTGTGTAGTCGTTTATATACCATTAAAAATGGAAGATAATCTTATAGAGATTTAATATCATACAATAATTTTCTCGATTACTTATCTAGCTTCCATCATGTCATCTAAGAGGAAGCTCTAACCACCATATAGTTTTATGAATTGGATTGGTCGTTTATATTCTCTTCTTCAAGAATTGTTGATTTGGTAAGGTTTATAAAAAAAATTTTATTAGTCTATTCTAAAAAACATTGTCTAAAATGGTAATAGAGTTATATTCGTTTCATGACCTTTTGTCAATGTAAGTTGCTAATATTATATTATATTATGTAGTTTACAAAAACCATTATTAATTGAGGCATATACATATATATGAATTAATTAAACTTTCTTATCATTTATAATTCTTTAGGCGCAAAATTTTTTTATATCAACGATCGAAAATGATTTTGTATTAAAAAATATTATTTTTAGAAATGTCTTGTATTATTTTAATGATTTAAATGCTAGTGTATTTTGATGCAAAATATAATAAATGACATTCAGAATAATTATTTAGAGTTAGTTAATTTTAAAAATGTATGATATATTAATATAAAACCCGGCCGAAGGCCAGCAAATTAGGGGTATAAAGGGGGGGCTTCGCCCCCCTTAAAATTTTTTTAGTTGAGCCCCCTGAGATTGTAAAAGCTAGCGACGCCCCCTGATCACTATTTATCAAAAAATGCAACCCGCTACTCCAATCTCTACATAATAAATTTAGAAATAAATTTATTTTATTGTTTACTTATAATGTAATTGCATAGTATATAATACATATAATCATCGTTTATAAATATTTAAACAGTTAGTTTTGATTATAACAAAATTTGTGTAAAAATACTATATTTCAGTTAATAAAAATAACAATTTATGGTAATATACATTTTTTATTTATATTATTTAGTGCTGTAAAGTAACGTCAAAAAAGTAACGACGTAACTAACGTCGTTACCTTTTTTTGAAGAAAAGGAGTCATACGTTACCTTTTTCTAGAAGTAACGAGTAACGGTAATGTTGTAATTGTGGTAACATGCAAATTTACTAGATTAAGAAAAACGCCAGACAGGCAAATTACTTTTAAACAAAATTAGAAGCCCAAAGATATTCAAATCTACAAGAATTAAATCTCGGTACAAATTGAGACTATGCAAATGTTGATTAAAGAAAAAGGATATATAAGGAGAAATTATGATGCGAAAAATGATGATTAAATTATGATTTCGAACTTAATTTTTAATTTTAATTTTAATTTTTTTAATCTTTAATTTTTAATTTTAATTTATATTAATTTATTTTGATTATGTTTTTATCTTATTATTTAATAAAGATTTAGTATCATTTTAGTTCTAACTTTTCTTTATTTGACGAATATTATAGAAAAGTATATATAATCGAGGATATTAGTTTGATTTAGTATCATTTTAGTTCTAACCTTTCTTTATTTGACAACGGTTCTAATCATCCAATCCTTCTAAATTCTCAAAATGTTACAGGTAACGCGTTTCTTTTTTTGGCTTTAAATTTTTTCTTAAAAAAATATTAATAAAAAAAACATACTTTATTGTGCTATAAAATTACTTTTATTTATTTTTAATATAAATAATAAATCGAGTTTTTAATTTATATCAACCACCATTCCTTTCATTCTTATTTAAATTTTCGCTTGTTATTTTCAATCAAATTTTAATCTAACTAATATTCAATCAAAATTCAAAGTATATATTAATATTATTATTCTATATTATAATTTATTTTAAGAATATATGCCAAACTCTATAATAGTTGATTCTTCTGATGAAGAAAATTTAACCCTTCCATGGCCTCAATTTGAGACATATTTTATTCCAATAAAGAAAATTAAGGGTACAAAATCTACACTTTGTAAATGTAGATTATGTCCTAACACAAATATATGAACCTCGATGTCTAACAGTTCCTAAAAAAAACATATGAAGGTAAAAAGATGAAATAATATATTATTATTTTTAGATTTTAATAATGATATTAATATAATATAATATACTATTATTTTAAACATATGTGTATTATAAAATAATCATTAAAATAAGTATACTTTCATAATATTTTGAAAAGCTTAATCATGAAATTTAGATATAAAACAATTGAATTATACTTTAGTATATAGGGCTGGGAACCAACATTAAAAACTTAAGATTAACAAAATATCTAATGTATTGGGTTTAAACAATATCTTCTATTTCTTGTTTTAGTCTTGCTATTTGTTTAATATCAAATTGTTGATAAATTAAAGAATAAGATAGTGATTTTAATATATTATTATTTTAAACATATGTTAATTAAAGAAATTTTCTATCATAATATTTGAAAAGCTTAATTATGAAATTAAAATATAAGCAATTAAATTATACTATAGTATATAGTGCTGGGAACCTACATTAAAAACTCAAGATTGATAAAATATTGGTATTGGTTCAATATAGTATTGAGTTTAAACAATATCTTCTATTTCTTGTTTTAGTATTGCTATTGGTATAACTTCAAATAGTTAATATGAATTTAAAAAACTTTATTTTATGTATTTTTAAATATATAATGAAACTGAAGCAATATTGTTTTAGAGAACAGAACCTATATATTTTTCCTGATTCCTTTTTAAATGATAATTCTGAATTATGAAAAAAATAAGAAATTGAAAAACCTTTGGCCATCAGAATATCAATTTTTAATTTTTTAGTGAGGGAATCAAAATGCAGTTAAATTTTTAATCTACAATTATAAAAAAACTTAGTTAATTTTAATAAAAAATTCAGTAATAAATAATTATATTTTGTTTAAAATATAGGCTTTACATTCCTCATGTTTGAAAGAAATAAATGAAAACTTAAATAGTAATAAAGGAAAAAAAATTGAAACCAATCAACTCACAATCATTGATATGCAGAATCCATCTACATCAAAGATCAATATAATTCAATCAACTGTTGATGAATTAGTTTTTAATTTTGTAGAAGAATTACAACCATTTTCAATTGTAGAAAGCCCTGCAATTATTAATATTATCAAAAAATTGCAGCCATCCAAAAATGTGATATCAAGGCCTACCCTTGTAACAAAAATTAACAAAGCTGGTGAAACCATGACAAAATAATTAGTGGATTTATTGCGTATTCCAGAAATTGTTTGTACAACTGTGGATTCTTGGAAATATTCTTGTAGATTGATAATATTGTCTTTTAAAAAATTCTTATTTAGGGATGACTGTACACTGGCTACATCCAGACACACTTGAGAGGGTTTCAGCTCGCCTAGCTTGTAAAAGGCTAAATCAAAAACACACATTTGATTACCTAGCAAAAATAATCTTTGAAATCTTTACCACTTATAAGATACAAAATAAAGTGACCAAATGCATTACAGATAATGCAAGAAAATATATAAAAGCTTTCAATTAAAAAAAAGTATAATATATTTACTAAAAATTTATTAGAGTATATGAACAAGAAGAAGAACC